AGCCCCAGGCGCCCCCGCCTCACCGCCCGCTGACAGGCTGCCCCTGGCGCCTCCCACGCGTGGGGGCACCCTGCTCACAGGGCCCACGGGAGCCGCGACACCCCCCGCCCCCCCCCAATTCACACACACACACACTCACCTCCCGGCTGCCCTGCGCGCTGGGTCCCTCGCCGCCGCCGGCGCTGCCCCAGCCGCCACTGGGGGAAAATGAATCATCAAAGGGAAGGGGGCGAGGGGGAAAAAAGGGGAGGGGGGGAAGCGAAGACTGAGCGAGGGAGGGGCAGAGAGGGGAGGAAAACTAAGGAGGTGGGGGGAAAAGCAGCGATAGTGATAAAAAAATAATTCCGAGTGGGGGGAGGAAAAAAAATGGCGGATTAAAATCCAAGATGGCGGCGCCGAGGGGCGAGCGGTGCAGGGGGGAGGTGACAGAGAGCGCTTCCTAGAGATCCCTCCGCCGAGCCCCGCGAGAAAGAGTCCCCCGGGCTCCCTCGCAGAGACCCCGCGGGGCGGCAGCGAACACAGGCCGCCGTCGCCTCCGCTTCTTCCTCCTTTCCCTTCTTCTCTGCGGGGAGCCCTCTGTCCGACAGCCTGCCGATCCAGGCCGCCCGCTGCGCTGGCCACCGCGCTCCGAAGTTTCTTCTTCTTTCTGCCGGCGAAGCCCGTGACCTCCTCGCCCCGTCCGGGGAGACGCCGCCTGCCCCTGCGCTGCCGGAGGCGGAGGGACACCGCACACAGGAGCGGACTTACGCCCGCCGCCGCGGAAGGATACACCACTCGCAAGGAAACGCAGCACGCCCCCACCCGCCCCGCAACCTGCGCCGCTCCCCGCCTCCTCCCCGCGCTGGCGCTTCACCCCGGTCGGCGCAGAGGCAGGCCGCCAGCCCGCGAGGCCCCGCGCCTCGCCCGCGGAGGAGGCACAGCGCTAACCGCAGTTCCCATCAGCGCTCAGCGCGGCGCTGCGCCGCGGCGGAGGGATCTCGCTGAGGGAGAACAAGGTCCGGGCTACCTCGCAGATCGGGCCGCCCGGCCGTGTGTGGGAAGAAGAAGTCCCGGCCGGCTCACGCGGCGGAGGGATGCCTCCGCCCGGAGCTGCCCTTTAAATGCGGGGACTCCCCGCCGCGGGGGCGAGCGGCCGGCGGCTGTTGTTACCGCCACTCCTCAGCGGCTCGGCGGAGGCGTTTGGTGCCCCTTCTGCCCTGGCGTCTGTGAGGCGACAGTCCACCCTGCCCCGCCTGAGGGAGCGGGGACCGCAACTTCAGCGCCTCAGGGAGCTCCCGGGCTCCGGCACCTGCTTCCCCCGCCGCTGCCTGACAGGCATTTAAAAATGGCCCCCGCGGCCTGGAGGGGCTGGGGCGGCGCCTCCTTCCCCGGGCCGCCAAGCGGGGCAGCCCCGCGGCGGGGG